TGGGGGGAGTTGCGGGCAGCCGGAGAAGGTCAGCAGCTCACGCTGTGCCATGGGGGCTGGACAGAGGGACCCCCTCCTCTGAGCACAAAGTGGCTCCAGTCTTCTCTGTTATTGCAGCAGTGCCCCATTTTCCCAGTGCTCCCTGACCTGTGCTCAGCGCCGGTGGGCTTTTCCTTCCCGGGGTCCTGCGAGGTGACAGATGCCTTGGTGCCACCATGGGCTGGGGTACCTCTCCCCAGCCTGCCAGCCCTTTCCAGAAGCCAGCAAAGTACACAATAACTTCACTCTCACCAAAACTTTGGTCACAGAGGACCCTAAATCACGGAACTGCATTGGAAACGCAGGTCTGATTAATAAGCTTTTCCCGCAGGAGCATCGCATGGATGGGATAAATCAGACGCTGAGTCACTGGCAAATTGACATCCCTGCGTGCCAACTTCACAACTTTCCCTGCTGCTGATGGGGCACCCGGAGCTGTTTTTACCAAATCCAAGGCGAGAGCCAGGAGATGCCGGAGGAGGAAGCTGCAGCTTGGGCGCCTCTCGCTGTTGCGTGTCCCTGCTGCAGCGGTGTTTCTGGCAGCACCAGTGCCCATCCCGACATGGCCCGTGGTTCCTGTCCCACCAGGGGTTTGCCCCTTTCTCAGCAGCACCTTGCCTCATGTGTGCAATTGCCTGGCACATCGACCCACCACAGTGCCGTTTGGCTTGGCTGTTCCACCCAAGGCAAACAGAAATCCATGGCCTCTCCTAAAAGTGTGCATTTCTCATTCTTTTCTATCTCTGCTTTTAGGCACAGGACTAGGATCCCATCTGAATGAGGGGAAGAGAGCAGCCAGGATGATGGCCGAGGACATCTTGGAGCAGACGGAGAGATCTTCAGGCAAAGGGATGATGGCCCTGACCACCCTTGAAGACTGACGTATTGTTAACTGAAGAGCTCCCGTGAGTTTCTAACAAAATGCACTATGAAGAAAAAAAAAAGTTGAGGGACGTACCAAATATATTGCTGTCTATCTCCTGGCAGCTTCTGCTAATTTTTACTAAATTAAAGGCTTCAAGTATCTGGCCACACTCCCTAATGCTAGAAGCACAGTCTGTTACTTCAGATACAAGGAGAGCTATGAGCCAGCACCTGGCAACGTGGCTAATCTCCCCGGACCGTGTTATGGATGTGGAAGACTGGAACTGGAGGTAGCTGTCAGACCTATAATTAAAGAAATATGTTTCCTTATAGAAATTTCTTTCTGTTGTCAGGAGAGACGGAAATACAAAAATCTCATTTATCATATTCCACAAACTCAGTAGATACTCAAACCAGAAAACTCCAGCCACAGCAGAAATAAGAACAGCTCTGTATAATAACCTAAAATAACATATCGAGCCTTATTGCCGGTGCTTTGTGCACCAGCAAATCCTTTCCTAAGGGCAGCAGAAGTGCTGTAAACGGGTACAGCGCTCTACAGTCTCTGCTGAAGGGGGTTCTGGGCCAATTTTCCAATTACGAGAGACAAAGTGATGGGAAATCACTATTTATGATGCGGGGCCATGTAGGACCTGGATGCACAGCAAGGCTTTTGGCAACAGCGCCATGCACGGGGCTGTACAACGGAGCTGTAGGCAGTTCAGTAGTAGAACAAGGCTTTATTTACTCAACAAGCTCAATAAACATTAATGTTCCCATCAGCATGGCTCTCTGGAGGAAGGTTTGCCTTCCAGCCCATGGCTTCCTTGGAAAGCCCGGCCATTATCCCATCCCTGAAGCAGGAACATGATCCAGGCTGCGATTCCCCGCTCCGGTCCTAGAAAATCAACCTGTTTGCGGCTTATTGTGCAGCTGAGAGTTAACAAGACACCGTGATAAATCCAAGTTATTTATACCAGCCCTAGTACTGTAGTGACAAGCAAAAACAAAGCAACAAAGTCACTCCAAGAAGTTTGTTATGGGGAAAAGTCCAGAATTTTTTTTTTTTTTCCAAGTCAAAGCTTTATTTCTGAGGGATTTGATTAGGAAATCAGATACATACATCAAGAAAGCCATTGTTTTGACACTTCTGAGCTCCAGGCTGCCTTTAATAATAAGCCAAAAGAGTGTAGAGGAGAATGCGAGCAGTTCCCCTAATCTAGCCAGGAGTTTATATCAACTGTATTTCTACAGTGGCTTAGTGCTTACTGAGTATCTTCAGAACCAGCAACCAAATATTTTAACCAGTATTGAAACTGTTTTGAATTAAAGGAAAAAAAAAAACAGGCAAGTAAGCGTGCCCGTTTTCCATTGCTGAAGACGGAGGATACAGAAGCACGAGGAAGAAAATTCCAGTAAAACCATATATGAGAATCTTTCTCTGCGGATGATTGGATGATGGGTTATTTTTGTCGTACTTCTAATGGGTGAAATTCAATCGTTCTGCCTTTCTGTGAGAGGTATTTACATGAGAGACCACCCAGCCTCTGGAGGTGAAAGAAATGTGCGCCGTGGCCGCTGTGCTCCCGTGGGACCAGCCCTTGGCGTGCTGGGCTCCGAGCATCCCCCGCTCCCCCTGCCCCGTGATGGCCCCGGGGCTCCGCTCCCGGGCGGAGGGGCAGGGTCTGTCCCGGGGGGAAGATCGGAGCTGGGGCTGACCCCGGGCCCCCTGGGGTGACCCCAAGGAC